ATGAAGGAGTGGCACCCACAAGAACAGAGGAGCGGCCACCACTGGCAGTGAAATTATTAAGGAGCAAATTTTTATGCTTTGAAGAATTATTTTTTATCATTTAAAAATATTTTAATAACTACATGATTAGAAGAAGCATGTGAATTTCTTTTGTAGTTTCTGATTCTTGTGTGAGATTCAAGCCTTTCTTTGTTGAGTTTAGATCTGTTTCTTTTTGTAAACTTTATGTGCCTTTGTTGTTTACTTGTTGGGCATGAAAAGCTGGTTTTTCTAGGCTTCATGTTCTCTCTTTTAATTTTATATTGGAGTGGCCTAATTGCTTTTGTCTTCAGGAGTTCCCACAGAGGCCCAGGTGAGTAGAGGCTCAAGGCTTTCTCCTAAGGTCCGGGTCCCTCCAGGAAAGATGCTGCCCTCAGGAATTTGGGGGCTGGGCTAGCCTGGGAGCTGGGCCCAGGAAAGATGCTGGTCTCAGGAAGCTGGTGGCTGTGCCACCCAGGTATGCAAAGGGAGGTGAGGCAGGAAGAGGCCCCAAGGGCTCTTTGGGGACTACTGGGAGGAACTGGGTTGGTCTGGATGCAAAGGATCAGGAAGTAGTGGTGGCTCTGGGTGGAGAGGTTAGCCCCAGTGTCTGGGGTACCGAGACAAGAAATGGGCCTGTACCCAGGCTAGGAGGAGAGAGTGGCAGGGGAGCTGGGAGGGTGAAAGAGGCTGGGGGAGTCAGGATGCAGTGGGCACACTGGACTTACCCTGGAAAGGTGCTGGCACCAGAACCCCTGGAGGCTCTGCAGCCCAGGGAAATAAAGGGAGGTGTGGGTGGGACCACAGTGTCTGGGGTACCGAGACAAGAAATGGGCCTGTACCCAGGCTAGGAGGAGAGAGTGGCAGGGGAGCTGGGAGGGTGAAAGAGGCTGGGGGAGTCAGGATGCAGTGGGCACACTGGACTTACCCTGGAAAGGTGCTGGCACCAGAACCCCTGGAGGCTCTGCAGCCCAGGGAAATAAAGGGAGGTGTGGGTGGGACCAGGCCCAGAGGGCTCCTGGGGACTGTAAGGAGGAACTGGATTGGTCTAGATGCAAAGGATCAGGAAGCAGTGGTGGCTCTGGGCCAAGAGATTAGCCCTGGTGTCTGGGGTGCTAAGACAAGAAATGGGCCTGTACCCAGGCTAGGAGGAGAGAGAGGTGGGGGAGCTGGGAGGGTGAAAGAGGCTGGGGGAGTCAAGGTGCACTGGGCACACTGGACTTACCTGGAAAGGTGCTGGCACCAGGACACTGGAGGCTGTGCAGCCCAGGAAGCAAAGGAAGGTGAGGGCAGGACCAGGCCCAGAGGGCTTCTGAGGACCAGGCCCACTTGTATTTTTAATGAGGATAATGTGCAGTCTGTTCTCTGTTCCCACCGCTGCCCCAGCCCCGTGCATAATTTGGTGGCTCCTCTGTAGCACTGGCATCTCAGGTCTGGGGTAGAATCTATGACTTGGGAATTTATATTTCTATTAAAATTTTTCATTGGAGGCTGGAGAGAAGGCTCAACTGTTAAGAGCACTGGCGGCTCTTGGAGAGCACCTCCGTTCAGTTCACAGCACCCACATGTGGTTAACAGCTGTCCATAACTCCAGTTCCAGGGAATCCAGTGCCCTCTTCTGACCTCTGCAGGCATTGCATGACATGGATACAGTTACATACATGCAGACAACATACTCATACACATAAAAATAAAATAAAAAATAAATAATTTAATGAAAAAATAAAATAGGAACTTGTTCTAGTTTGTTTCTTCATTGCTGTGACAAAATACTCTGACCAATACCAACTTGGGGGAGAAAGGGTTTATTTTGTCTTACATCTCCCAGGTCACAGTTCATTAAGGAGCCCAAAGTAGGAACTCAGGGCAGGAACCTGGAGGTGGGAGCTGGAGCACAGGCCATCCATGGAACTCTGCTTACTGGCTTGCTCCCCTGGCCCATGCTTAGCTTGCTTTCTTATGCAACATAGGCCCACCTGCCCAGAGATGGCACCACCTACAGTGGGCTGGGCCCTCCTACATCACTCAACAGTCAAGAAGATGCCCCACAAACATGGCCACAGGCCAGTCCATTGGAGATAATTCCATAATTGAGGCTCCCTCAATCCAGGTTTTTCAAGTTGACACTAAAGCTATTCACAGCATTGAAATGAATTGTTACTAAGATAATAGCGTGTCGCTTTCCTCTTTTGTGAGACTTTCTTGGTGTTACCGTGGGGTTCTAGTTGAAGTGCTTCAAATTTTTGTAAATTACTTGATAGAGATTGTATTTCTAAGTTCTTAAACTTTTTAAGTGTTTCTATTTTGAAAAATTATTTAAGCCCTAGCCACAAACTGCCTGTGTTTATGCTGCTTTTCTGGTTTTTCACTCTTCTAATCATATGTCACTTCATAACAAATAGAATGTATTAATTTGCTTGAGTAAATGACCTCAAAGAGAATATTTCCAAATAACTGGACTTCTTGTTTATAAGGTTAATATCTAACAGAAAAAGAACGTGTTCTTTATACAAATAATAATTTTTGGTGCTTGCTAGTTATTTATATTGTATACTGGTTTTTAGAACGTGGCCTTTGTGCCATTGATCTGGCAGATGTCAGCTCTGAACAGCAGAGAGAGCACAAAGGAGTTTGTGCATCTAGTGGTGGGAGATGGCAGGGGAACTATGTAGCTGAAGTCTTGGGAGAGCTGGGTTGTCCTAAGGCTGTTGTCTGTCAAATGCCATATATGTTGCTGGTTAAGGGTGGTGGCAGAATTAAACATTGTCAGTATTTGAACAGTAAAAGGAGTTTTTGTTTTAATTGCCTAGGTTTTTAATGCATATGTATTTTTGTTCTAAGTCATTTAAAGTCTCCCTTTTCTTTAGTGGAAAGGAAATAGCCAAATATTTATTATAAATAAGAACTTGGAACATTTCATTCTTGCCTCATGGGTGTCAGTGGAAAGGTGAGATTTATTTTACAGTGAAATTCTAGAATATAAAAATCACAAACAACATGCAGTGCAGTAAAGGAAAAATAATTATGATTGCCACTTGTTCACACTGGCAGCTTGGAAGTTGGGGCAGGTGACCAGAAATAGCACATCACCGACACTTGCCTGGAATGCATAAGACCCTAGGTTCAATCCCCAGTATTGTCAAGGAAACAAAACAAAACAAAAACCACCAAATTCCATAGTTGTACAAAGAGAGTTTAACATCAACTACATACATTTCCTTTAAAGAAAACCTTTGTGAGGTATGACTGGAATAGAGGCTTAAATTCTTCTCACCAGCTCTACAGAATAAGTGTGATTGGCTGTCATTACTGAAGTTTGATTTGAGTTAGTATAGCCCTCTCAAGTCCAAGGTCAAGGCAGCTAGTGGATAGGCTGGGCTCCTGAAGCAGGTCACTGCCCTGGCCCAGTTCATCAGATTGTTCATGCATTCAGCAAGCTGGGTCAGACACTGTGGAACTAAGCGACTGGACTGAATGAGCCACATACGTGTTTGAATTTTAGTATTTTTTTCTGGTGTTTTATTGGTTGCCATTAGCCCACCCACAGTATTTTACTATTATACATAGTCATACCAGGGACAAATTTTGGTTCCTGCTTTTGTTGCCTTCCTTGTTTAGTTTGAACCATGGAAATGATATTTTATCAACAAATTTTAATTTCCTAGCTTAGAAATTGGGTTGTTGTGTTTTTTTTTTCAGTTGCTTTAGACTTCCATGGATTTATCATGTTAACTGCTGTGGTGGCGTGGCAGGCTGTCAGGCTTCTGCAGTTCTCTAAGGCTGTGTGACTGTGTGTCTGCAAAGCTGCCTGAACTTTTTGTTTTATGAATGCTTATATTATCACATACATATTTTCATTTCTAGAATGAACTAATTTGTGATCCCCTTCTTAAATCCTTTTCTTAATCTGAAAAAAATTCACCCAAAAAAACCATCTTTTTTCTGTCTAGTTGATGGGTTTAAGATTTATCTTTATGTTAAATTGTGGCTGTGTGTGACTATGTGCATGTGACTGTAATGCCTATGGAGGCCAGAAGAGGGCATCAGATCCCCTGGAGCTGGAGTAAATAGTTGTGAGTCGCCCAGGATGGGTGCTGAGAAACAAACTTGGTCATCTTCAAGAGTTCTTCATCACAGAGCCATTTCTCCAGCCCCTTATTTTGTTTTGTTTGTTTCTTTGCTTGTTTCTTTGTTTTGTTTTGTTTTAATTTAGACAAGAGGTTGTTTATTGTTGTGGGTCCTCAGACCCCAATTACTGCAGGAGCCCATCAGACAGAAGCTTGCCTAGCCTTGGCTGTGCTATGTTAATGACAAGAAACTCCTTTTCCACATTTTAAGGCCTCTATTGAGCAGTTGCCACTGTTGGTAAGCTGGAGTATGCTTCCTGGTTGCTTACACTGTGGGTCCTGGTTCTGCCCTGTATAGTGGTAAACCCAGTTCTGCTCTGTGAAGTGGTATGCCTAGTCCGGGTTTTTGTTGTGTTGTCTCTGAGTTGCAGGGTTCTCATCTGTAGCTCTTATGATTTGTTGGGCACTGAGAGTGAGGTTAAGAACAACGGGGATAGCCTGGCATGGTGGCGCACACCTTTAGTCCCACTTGGGAGGCAGAGGCAGGCGAATCTTTGTGAATTCAAGGTCAGCCTGGTCTGTGTAGTAAATTCCAGGACAGCCGGGGCTACAGGGAGACCCTGTCTCAAAAGGACCAAAAAGAAAAGAAAAGAAAAAAAAAAGAACAATAGGGTAAATGTGACCTCAGGTAAAATCCTTTTTCAGTCTCAAAGTTTTCATATCTTAGTTTTATCTCTGGTGTGGTGTGCAATGGGGTTTCCCTCTCCCCTGAGACTGGCACTTGTTTCAGTGTACAAGGCTGTCCCCCTCTGCCTTTCTGAGGGTAAAATACTATTGTTAGCCTACCTTTACTTTTCTTAATGGTTTTGGTTTTCTAACTAGTCCGGTATTTAAAAAATTATCTTTGGTTTGTAGACATATGGAGTCTGGGAGTGATCCTCTTCATGCTGGTGTGTGGGCAGCCACCCTTCCAGGAGGCCAATGACAGCGAGACACTGACCATGATCATGGACTGCAAGTACACAGTGCCACCCCACGTGTCCAAGGAGTGCAAAGAGTAAGTAAAAAAGTCTGTGGAGACCTTAAAGCAGAAATTGTCATTTATTAACACGTTAGCAATAGTTGAGGTGTCTTCAACAACCAAAGACCTGAGTTCATTTTAATTCATGAGTTTAATATTTCTCTTGTTATTGAGGGGAGTGGAGGTAGCCATCAGTATTTGATAAGAAATTTAAGAGTAAGCTGGGCATGGTGGCACACATCTTTAATCCCAGCACTCGGGAGGTGACGGTTGAGAGATTAGATCTCTGTGAGATTGAGGCCAGCCTGGTCTATATAGTGAGTTCCAGGCCAACTGGGGCTACAGGGAGACCCTATCTCAAAAAGACCAAAAAGAAAATTAAGAGTAGAGTACGAAATGTACTTGCTTATTTCTTATGTACTCTTGTCCGGAAATCCATTAGACCTCTTCAGCCTCCAGAAGTAGTGGTTACCTTGGCAGCTGAGACACAGCCCTGGAAGCCACCTTTCTGTGCAGCAGCAAAAGGCAAGACCACTTGGAATTGTGTTATGTTCCAGAGAAGAGTTAGGGAACTTCAGTTCTTGAAGACCATGAACATGTCATCATAGGGTGTCTCATGATAGTACCAGTCTCAATCATAGCATCTTATAATGCTCCTCACGCTCCCTCCCTGTAGACTAAGACCTGTGGTTTGCTATGTGACCGTGATAAGCAGCACAGAGGAGTGAGTGCCGGTGGCCTATTGCAGTTTCTAGTATCACGTGGTACTCTCATTTCTATACTGAGAAATGCAGTAATGGAACAGGACTATTTAAAGTCTGTCTTTCATTGATATAAATACTATTTTTTAATGAAGCATCTGAGATTATAGTTACCAGTTAAAAACTTTTTCTGCATAAACAATGTTTTGAGTTTTCCCATAGCTGAATAGGAAGAAATACAGTAGAGAGGCTGTTTCTCCAAGTGGAGCCCCAATTTGGATATTAAACTCTCTGGATTCAAATACTGGCTTCTCTGCTGTAGATGTGAGAGTGGTAGATTGTACATTATAGGGCTGTTGTGAAATTTAAATGAGTTGATAATGTAAAGCTTATAGCTTAGACTGTAGCACTCTGGAGGCCTCTGTGCTACTGCTGATGATGGTGATTTCATCTCTTGCTCTGACTCTTCCCCAGGGAGCAGGTGTACAAGTGCAGGTTAGATGTTTGTAACTCAAGATTCTCTTTTCTGCCCCCAGTGAAAAAAAACAAAGCAGATCAAGTCACTCATTCAAAAACCGTACAAGGGATGAAATGAACATGCGTGTACTCAGTGGTCAGCTAAGAAGCAGAGCAGTTCCTAAGATCTTAGGAGTTGCCTTGTGTTTTCTTCCCAAAGGGATTTAGAAGACACTTTACTTTCTCTTCTTTTGTTTTAACCAGTCTTCCCAGAGGACTGTTGTTTCTGTTGGTCTTTTGGACTCGCTTCTAGCTTTAATTTACTATTACACTTTCTGTCTTTCCTCTTGTCTTTGTTATTTCTTTCTACCTACACCCAGGGGCTGATTCTGTTCTTATCTTATTCAGCTCACTGAATTTCCTTTACTGTTAGGATATTTAGGCCTATAAATTGCTTCCTGGTATCAGATTAGCTTTATCCCATTGAATTTGTCTTTTTGTTATTCAGTTTTAAGTATTATTTGATGCATGCGTTGTTTAGAGGGTTCTTTTTTGTTTGTTTCCAAGTACACAGCATTTTTTATAATTAGCTTTTTGCTGTTGATTTCTAAGTTAATTGTATTATAGTCAAATAATACAACCTACATGTTACCATGTCTTTTTTTAAATTGTTGAGACTTGCTTACAGTCTATGATAGGGTTAATTGTTAACAATATTTTTGTTCTTGAAAGATTATATTTTCAAGTTGAGCTTAGAGGTCTATATACATCTTTAAGGTAAAACTCATTAGTTATACTGCTCAAAATTATTTGCATCCTTTCTGAGTTTTTTTTTTTTTTTTTCGCTTCTTGATTTAATTACTGAGATAGTCTTCCATTATGATGGTGGCTTTATTGTTATAGTCTGTCCATTTTTGCTTTGAGTGTTTTGAGATAAAGTTATTAGATGCAAGTAAGTTGAAAACTATTATGCTTTCCTGATGAATTAAACCTTTGTATCAGTTTATATCAAAGAGGTATCAATAGTAATGCCTTTTGCTTTAGGTTCAATCTGTAATGTTTAATATAGGGAATTACACCTGCTTTCTTTTCATCAGTGTTTGAGACAGCTTTCCATCCTTTTACTTGAGAACTTTGACTGTCCTAGTCTGAAGTACTCCTTTTTTATCAGCCTGTATTTGGAACTGCTTTGAATTTCATCTGATCATCTCTGTGTTTTTAATTGTGTCACTCATTCCATTTACATATATTGCGGTCACTGATAGATATAGATCTGTTGATGCCACATCTGTAGATAGGGGTGCTTTTTATTTGGCCTACTGTTTCAGATTTTGAATTTTTACCCTATCCTTCTGTGAGGTTGATAAGAGATTTTTCTTTTCCCCTCATTTGAATCTCTTCTATCTTAACTAGCTGCAAAATTGCAGTCTATTATTTTAGTGATTTTTAAACTTATTTTAATATAGCCATGCATGCTTATATGCTTAATTTGATAAAAATCTATATTTAACATTTATTTTTATTGTCTTATAGAACATTTAAAAATCCTGAGAACATTTTACTGTCATTTAATATTTTAGTGATTGTTTTTAACTCCACAAATTAAATAATATTTTATATAGTCAAAAATTGTCAATGTCGTTGAGATGTTTGACACAAATGTTGCTAACTCTCTTGGTTGGGATTAACAATCTTCTGCTAAAATTACATCCTTTAGATTTTCTTTTAATGCACATCTGTTGGTGATTAGCTTTCTCAGTTTTACTGGACAATGTCTTTATGTCACATGTGTTCTTGAAGGGCAGTCTCTATGGGGTGCTCTGGATTGCAGTTGCTTTCTCTCAGCTTATGGAAGCTGTCCTTTCACTGTTTTCTAACATGCACTGTTGTCATGGAGAAGTCAGCTGTCCATCTTACAGCTCCTCCTGCAGTGTTGCCTTTTCCTCAGATCTTTTGTGTTAGAGCATCCTACACGCCTGTCTCATGTTTGTGTTCTTTCTGAATTTGGAGACTTCTCAGCCGTTACTTCTCAAGTAGACTTTCTTCTCTGTTTTCTCATTTCCTTCTAGAATTGATTTGATGTCTGTTAGATGCTCTCTGTCATTCTTACTTTTCACTCTGATTAGTTTTCTATCTTAGTTTGCAGATATAAGGCTATTTTCCTTACCTTTATCTTTCATGAATTCCTATCAGTTCATGATTTCTCATGTTTAATTTTTTAATTTTGTCCATTGATGTTTTTAGCTAATTTTGTCCATTGATTTTTTTTCATTTTTATTTTTTTCCTCAAGATTGCATAAAATAATTTGCATATTGTTCCCTGATAATATTTTCAAGCTTCTTGTTCATGTGTTAAACATACTTATTCTGTGTTTGAGAATTTCAACCTTTGGGTTTGGGGTTTTTGGGTTTTTTTTTTTTTTTTCTTTTGGTATCATCATTAAAAATTCTTTAATGACTGCGTTAAGGTATTTTCCTATAGAAAAGATTTGTGTCTTATCTGCTAGTTGTCCAGGAATGCATCTAGATAAAGCCACTTCACCACGTGTACCACACAGATATTAATATGAAGCACAAATTGTGTGAGGTGTCACAATCCACCCAGATCAACATCCACAGCCAGGGTTGAGGCAAGCAGGCTTCCTTCCTGCCCTCTTCTGAGAGGTGGATTTCTTTGTTTTTCTTCAGGTGCTGAGCACCTTTGCTCTTTGCAAGAGCTTTTTTTGTTCCGCCATCAGCAGCCGCTACCCATTGTATTCTGTTACATGAACCCAGTGTACTTCAAAACAGAAACAGGAGCAGTCAGGCTACCAACTCTGTCGTTTGTCCCCTCAGAACCCTGCTTCCACTCTGTTTTTAGTTAACAAGTATTCTTCATTTATTTATTTTGCCAACACAATGTCTTGAAAATATATTCCTGAAAATTTATTACATGGTATTTTAATTATGTTCATCAAGAGACTCATTCATTCTTGTGAAAAAAGTTGACTTGTACTATGTCTGGTATACTGCTAAGCCTGCATGTAACTCAGTGTGTGTATTAGTTGCTTTTCTGTTGCTGTGATAGAAACACCATGACCAAGGGAACTTAGTAACAGTTTATTTAGCTTATGGTTCCAAAGGGGCAAGAGTCCATCGTGGCAGGGAGGCATGGCGGTAGAGGTGGCTGGAGCAGAATTTCAAGCAGGCAAAGGAAGCAGAGTACTGGAGATCTGGCAAAGCTTAAGAACTCTCTAAGCTTGCCCCCAGTGACGTGCTTCCTCCAGCATGCATGGCCACACCTTCTAAGACCTCTCAAAACAGTGCCATCAAGTGGGGACAAAATGTTCAAATGCTTGGAACCTATGGGCGACAGTCTCATTCAAACCACCAGTGTGTAACCTTAAGAGCTGAGACTGATACTTCAAGTTAATTCTAACTGACAAGGAGCTCTGTTTCCTCATCATACATCTGGGAGGCTGTAGTATTTTACTTTGTGAATGTGGTGGCAACAGATTCTCATCGGTCTCATTTGCCTCCACTAGTGAACCTAATGAAATTTTTCATGAATATATAGGAAGCAGTTCTTACTGGTGACATCGATCATTACTAACTCCTGAAAGCAGTTTGCTTTAATAATGGGCTACCTTTGTTTACAGCCTAATCACACGGATGTTGCAGAGAGATCCGAAGAGGAGGGCCTCTTTGGAAGAGATTGAAAACCACCCTTGGCTCCAGGGAGTGGACCCTTCACCAGCCACTAAGTACAACATCCCCCTTGTGTCCTATAAGAACCTCTCAGAAGAGGAGCACAACAGCATCATCCAGCGCATGGTGCTTGGGGACATTGCAGACCGAGATGCCATCGTAGAGTATGTCCATGTTTGTCAGTATGGGGACACAGGGCTAGGAATCTTAGAATGGGCTCTCTTTACTCTCCATAGCCTTAAGACAGTGTAACAGATTGTATTAATTACTTTATTTGTTGCTATGACCACATACTTGACAAGAAGCACTTTAAGGAAAGTAAGGAAGACGAGGATCAGATGTTAAATATGTGAGCCTGTCAGGGGCATTTCACATTCAAACTGTAACACAGTTAAGTTCCTGTTTGACAGCCATTGGATCATTTCACTCCAACACTCCTGGCCTAGGGCTTAGCACATAAATTTTTGAATTTTGCTTTGTTTTTATTCTAGTGGACAGATAAGCCCTTGCCAGGTGGTGTTGATAAATATGGTTTCAGTGGGACCATTTTTTTACATCTTGCCGATGGCTGCATTGTGTTTACCATGGCTGAGAGATCACAAGAGTGCCCATGTAAGCCACCCAGCCTAAAGTATTTACTGTTCCTTGGGCCCTCTACTTCAGCAGCCTGGAACCTGCATGCTACTCAGTTGTTTATGATATCTATCAGACTGGAGCCACGATAGTAACCTCAGTTGATGCCAAGTGTGGTGCCGTGCCACTGCTCTGAGTGGCAAGTCACTTTTGTAAGAGGTTGAGAAAATAGCAGAGTGTTTCCATAGATGAAAATCAGCGTGACATGTGTTTAATGAAACACTTGCCACCCTACTCCGGGAAGCAAGAAAGAGGTTCCCTTGGGTCAGCCACTCTGGTTTGGCCCTGGTACCTCACCCAGGAATGATCTGGGGAGGAAGAGGCTGCAGGCTGGACTTGTAGACCTCACATGTGTTACCTTTTGCCAGGTATACCTGGCGGGATTTCTGGTGTCTGGGAAGGGTGGTGTCTGTAGAAAGGATACACTGCTGTAGAGCAGATTTAGTGCACTAGAAAGAAAACTTTAGCGAAAAAAGAAGGCCAGGCTTGTAATTTTGCTTATACAGTTTTCAACAAGATTCCAGGTGTATTAAGTGTCTTTAGAGGTTGTTGCTCAGCCCCTAAAACAACCTGAATGGGTGCAGGACACTGCTATTTCTGCACAGACACATAGGGATGTGTAGAAAGTAGCTTTACATTCTGGAGTAAATACCTGCTTGTCAGCCGGGCATGATGGCGCATGGCTGTAATCCCAGCACTCAGGAGGCAGAGGCAGGTGGATCTCTGTGAGTTCAATACCTGGCGGGATTTCTGGTGTCTGTGAAGGGTGGTGTCTGTAGTGGTGGTGTCAAAAAGACCAAAAAAACCCTGCTTGTCTGCTATGGTGCTGCATGGAGCTGTGCACTTTGTATACCTGGACACAAATCCATAGGTTGACTAGCTGCCCAGCCAGCATGTAGCTGGAGCCCAAGTCCAGCTCCCAGCCAGTCCCACTTCTTACCAGTGGCTGGCGTTCTGAGAAGCTGCTTATTTTGAGGGAAGTTCCTGAGTGTAGTGCCTTACAGTCTGTCTCGCAAACACAGGCAGCTGCTTTCTCTAGAACTCACTTGTGAGAAGTTGCTTTCTCTGAGTTTCACCTGAGGCCTCTCTGACCCATCACCGTGCCCTGTGCCCTTTGCCCATCATAGAACATCTCTGAACCATTTCTAGTGTATACTGCAGTAGTGCCAGAGGCCCCCCCAAACCAGAGTTACATGTCTCTGTGTCTTCTTGATTTTCTGAAGTATTCTGGGATGCCCCAGGACTGCCAGCTGCAGGAGATAGGTGAGGCTGTGGTATCCTAGCACCTAGCCACCTACCTGCCAGACAGTGCTCTTGAACATTGCTTTTCAGTGGATGAAGAGGAGCACTGCTTTCACTCAGAGGAGAGGGCAAGGATATGCTCTCAGCTGCACTGGTTTCAGTGGGCTGAACTGCTCGTTCTTGCCCGGGCTGGCCCCTAGATCACAGACCCATTTCTTGCTAACACCAGTCCAACTTTCTCAGCAGTTGAACTTTTTTCACCAAACTGAACATTTTTGTTCTGTTGCCTTTTAGAATTTCAGCAGTAACCTAAGTAACTTTGGGTTTTTTTCTTCAGCAGTTTACAGTTTTGCCTGATGTTACAACTTCCCAGTCATTGGGTCTCATTAGGGTACACTTTAAAAAATAACTGTATTTATTTATTTTCATTTTACATGCATGAGTAGATTGCCTACAGGTATGTAAGTGTACCCATGTCATGCAGTGTCTGTAGAGGTCAGAAGAGGGCATCGGATCCCCTGGAAGTGGAGTTACAGATGTTAATTGCCATGTGGGTACTGGGCATTGAACCCAGACCCTCTATAAAAACATCCAGTACTCTTAACTGCTAAGCCACCTCTAGCCCTAGGCTGCACTTTTTAAAAATCAGTCTTATAAAATCCAAACCCATCTGTGTGGCTTACATTTTCTCTTGCTTTGTCTCCTCAGAGCTCTGGAAACCAACAGGTATAACCATATCACCGCCACTTACTTCCTGCTTGCAGAGAGGATCCTGAGAGAAAAGCAAGAGAAAGAGGTACAGACGAGGTCTGCGAGCCCCAGCAGCATCAAGGCCCAGTTTAGGTGAGAAAAACATCTTCATGATTTTAGTAAGTTAATGCTTCAAAATAGTGAAACCTTTGTTAATGCTGTGTAATTGAGGGGTTGGGGTAGGTGAGGAGACTAGTGATGACATCTACTACATCAGGCTTCTCTATGTGCAAGAGAGGGTGGTTCCTGTCACTGGGTACCTTAAGGCTTATGCTTAGTGGACAGAGTGTCCATGGCTGTTGCCTGGCCCAGAGGACACACTGGAGAAAGCTACCTCAAGCCAGAGTGACTGCTGGTGATTTTCCAAATCTGACATGTATTGACACATTATTTTCTTCAAGATTTCATTCCCAGACACATTATTTTCATCAAGATTTCATCCCAAGAGCAATGCTGAATTTTCCTTTATCATTATCTGAAGTGATTTTTTTAAATGGGGCTTTTTTTCTATTTTTAATTGAATTCTTGTGCATTTCATACCATTCATCTTAATCATATTTAGACCCCTTTCCTTATCTGCACCATTTCATACCATTCATCTTAATCATATTTAGACCCCTTTCCTTATCTGCACCCCCAACGTCCCCCCGCACCAGATTTCATGCATTCTGTCATATATGCTAAGGCCTATGGAATCAAGTTTTGTGTCCCCAAATGTCCCCTGGTATGAGTTCATCCACTGGATCCTGGTCAACCTACCTAGCATCACTCCCTGAAAGAAGACCAATTCACCCTCTCCCAGCACTGATCAGTTGTCAATAGCTCCTCAGTGAGGGTTGGGGCTTCTTCCCCATTTCCCTACTTCTAAGCTGGGTTTTTTGTCTGGTTTAAGTTTGCATGTATCTTGTGCATGATGTCACCATTGCTGTAAGTTCATATGAGCAGGTTCCCAGCAACCTGCAAAATCTGTTTCCTTGTGGTCTTTCACCACTCCTGGCTCTTACAGTTTTCCCACTCTCCTCTTCCTCAATGAACCTTGAAGCCCTGGGTGGCAGAGGTTTAATATGGGAGTCCTATCCAGGGGCACACACTCTGCAGTCTCTTATTCTCTACATTTTGACCTTTTGTGGCCTTCTGTGTTAATCACCGTCTGTTACATGAGGAAGCTTCACTGGTGAGAGTTGAGAGATGCATTAATATTCTCTCTGCCCCCTATTCCACTATGTTCCCTGAGCCTCAGGTGTAGAGGTTCATTGTAGATGTGTCACTTAGGGCTAGGCATCTCGAAGACACTTACTCTGTGCATTTGTCCAGTTGTGGAACTCTATCATAGTCTCCATCTGTAGCAAAAAGAAGCTGCTTTAATGAATGATGAGAGGTATACTTGTATATAAGGATTTGGAGCTAAGATCCACAAATGAGAAAGGACATACAAACATCACATCATAAATGAGTCTGTGTTACTTCATTTAATAAAACAGTTTCTAGTTCCATCCATTTCATGATTTTGTTTTTGGAACCACTGAGTAGAACTCCATTGTGTAAATGTAGCACATTTTCCTTATCCATTCATTAGTCAAGGGACTCTTAGGTTGTTTCCATCTCTTAGCTATTGTGAAAAGAGCACCAACAAACATGGATGTACAAGTGTCTCTGCAGCAGGATGAGTTCTTTGGGTATATGCCAAGGAGTGGTGTAACTGGTTTATATGGTAGATTTATTTTTAGTTTTTTGAGCTCTCTATACTGCTTTCCATAGTGGCTGCATGAGTGTGCAGCCCCACCAGCAGTGGATGAGCGTTCCCCTTCCCCGCATCCTCGCCAGCATTTCGTGCCATTTGTTCTCTTGATCTTAGCCAGTCTGACTGGGGTGAGGTGAAACCTTAAAGTGGTTTTGATTTATTTGCAGTTCTCTAATTACTAAGGATGTTGAACACTTTTTAAGGTGTTTCTTAGCCATTTTAATTTCTTTTGAAAGCTCTCTGTTCAGATTCATAGCCCATTTTTTAATTGGGTTGTTTGTTTTCTTGATTCTTTGTTTTTTGCATTCTTTGTATATTCTGGATATTAATCCTCTATCAGATGTGTAGCTGGTGAAGACTTTCTCCACTCAGTGGGCTTGGTCTTCATTCGATTGGTTGTTTCCTTTGCTGTGTACAGAAGCTTTTTAGTTTAATGAGGTCCACTTGTCAATTGTTGACCTTAATTCCTGAGCAACTGATGTCTAGTCCTTTCCTACACCTATATCTTGTAGGGTACCGGTTATGTTTTCCTTTAACAGTTTTGGTGTTTCAGGTTTCACATTGAAGTCTTTGAACCTTTTGGAGTTGACTTTTGTTCAGGGTGATAGATAAGGGTGTAATTTCATTCTTCTACACATGGAGATTCAGTTTTGCCATCACCATTTGTTGAAGATGCTGTCTTTTCTCCAGTGTATGTTCTTGGCACCTTTGTCAAATATCAGCTGACTGAAATTGTATGTACTCAATGTTCACGTCTTCTGTTGTGTTCCATTGATCTACATGTCTGTTTATGTCAATGCCATACTGTTTTTATGACTATAGCTCTGTAATATATTTTGAAATCTGGTATGGTAACCCCCCCACCCAATCCCCAGACTTGCTCTTTGTGCTCAGGACCATTTTGGGTGTTCTAGTTTGTTTCTCCACTGCTGTGACAAAACACTCTGACCAATACCAACTTGGGGAGGAAGGGGTTTATTTAGCTTACATATCCCAGGTCACAGTTTATCTGGGAGCCCAAGGTAGGAACTCAGGGAAGGAACCTGGAGGCAGGAGCTGGACCACAGGTGATGGAGGAATGCTACTTACTGGCTTGCTCCTCTGGCCCCTATTCAGCCTGCTTTCATATGCAACACAGGCCCACCTCCCCAGGGATGGCACCACCCACAGTGGGCTGGGCCCTCCCACATCACTCAACAATCAAGAAGGTGCCCCATGGACATGGCCACAGGCCAGTCCAATGAAGGCAATTCCCCAGTTGAGGCTCCCTCAACCCAGGTGTGTCAAGTTGACAGTAAAGCTATCCAGCACATTGGGTATTTGAGGTCTTTTGTGATTCCACATGAATTTTAGGATAGTTTTTTTCTAATTCTGTGAAAAAGTCATGGGGATTTAGATTGGGATTGCATTGAATCTATAAATTGATTTTAATAGCATCATTTTTATAATATTAATTCTACTAATCCATGAGCATGGGAGGTTTTTCCATATCCTTGTGTCTTCCTCAATCTCTTCAAAGATTTAAAATCTTCATTGTAGAAGTCTTTAATATCTTTGGTTAGGCTTATTCTTAGATTTCTTTCTCTTTGGTTGTTTTTTTTTTTTTTTTTTGAGGCTAATGTGAATGGGAATGTTTCCATAAACTCTTTCTCTGATTGCTTGTTAATGGTATATAGGAAGGCTACTGATTTTTGTGAATTGATTTTGTGATCTGCCACTTTGCTGAAAGTGTTGATCATTTCTAGAAGCTTTCTGGTAGAATTTTGGGGATCTCTTTTCATACTGTCTGCAAATGCAGATAACTTGACCTCTTTTCCAATAAGTACTCCTTTAATTTTCTTCTCTTGTCTTACTGCTTTAGCAAGAGTTTCAAGCACTGTATTGAAAAGGAGTGGAAATAGTGGACACCCTTTTCTGCTTCCTGATTTTAATGGGAATGCTTCCAGGTTTTCTCCATTTAGAATGATGTTGACTGTGAATTTCTTTAATTATGTTGAGGCATGTTCCCTCGAGTCCAATTTACTCTAGGACTTTTATTATAAATGCATGTTAGATTTTGTCAGAGACCTTTTCTTCATCTCAAGATGATATGATTTTTGACTTTAAGTCAGTTTTTATGATTTATTATTGACTTACTGAACCATCCCTGCATTCTAAAGACAACTTGATCGTGATGGATGATCTTTTTGATGTGTGTTGCTATGCAGTTTGGGAATGTTTTGTTGAGAATTTTTGCATCTATATTCATTAGGGATGTGGGTCTGTAGCTTTCTTATTTTGTTTTGTCTTTGCCTGGTTTGGGTATTAAAGTGGTTCTGACTTCATAGAAGGAGTTTTGGGGTTCTCTCTCTGCCTCTATCTTTTTAATAATTTGAGAAGTGTTGGTTGTAGATCTGGTAAAATTCTCCTGTGAATTCATCTGGACCTGGGCCTTTTTTAGTTCGAGGCTTTGTATTACTATTTCGATTTCCTTATTTGTTTATGGGTCTGTCTAAGCTGTTGATCTCTTCTTGGTTTAACTTTGGTGGATCCATTGAATTTAGAAATTCATTGATTTCTTTCAGATTTTCCCATTTAATAGAGTATAGGTTTTTAAAGTATTCCCTTAAAATGTTCTAGATATTTTTGATGTCTATTGTGATGTTTCCCCCTTTGTCTCTAATTTTGTTGATTTGGATTTGTTCTTTCTTTCTTTTGGTTAGCTGGGCTAAGGGTTTGTCTAACTTATCTTTGCAAAGATTCCTTATATTGTTTTCTTTGTTTATATTTCATTGATTTCTACTCAGACTATTATTTCTTCTCGTCTGTTTGGTTTGGGTATGGTTTGTTTCTGCTTTTCCAAATTCTTGAATTGTACCATTAAGTAATTTATTTGGGCTTTTTCTGATTTTTTTTTTAATGTAGGCACTTAGAGCTATGTATTTCCTTCCTAGGACTGCTTTTAATGTGTCCCAGAGGTTTTGCTGTGCTATCATTTTAATTTAGTTCCAGGAATACTTTTATTTCTTTCTTGATCTCCTCTCTGACCCACTCAGGAGTGCACTGTTTAACCTCCGTGAGTTCCGTGCAGTTGCCAGAGCTTCTTTTGCTGCTGATTTTTTAGTTTTATTGTGTTGTAGTCTTATAGAATACAAGGAATTATGTACAGCTTTTGTATTTGTTGAGGTTTGTTTTGTGTCCCAGTATGTGGTCTAAAATGGGACTTTTTAAAGAAATTTTATTTTTATTTTATGTGTATGATTGTTTTGCCTACATGCATGTAAGTGCATCTGCATGGCAGTGCCCATAGAGGCCAGAAGAGGATGTTGGGAACTGGAGTTGCAGACAGCCACAGTGTGGGTGCCAGGAACTGAACCCAGATTCTCTGCAAGAATAGCCAGAGCTCTTAACCACTGAGCCATCTTTCCAGCAACCTCCCCAACCCCCAAGAAATGAGGCATTTTTGTTCTCTGATTTTATCTTAGGATTTCAGAGCTAGTTAATTTCTCAGCTGATGGAGCCATTTAATCTCTAAGATGAGCCTGTTAGTATGAAAGCTCTCCAGGGCTGTGGGGAGAGGGTAAGCAAAGTAACATGCCTGGAGTCCTTAGATTGGGCTGTGCAGGTGTCACTGGCAGTTTTCACTGGAGTTGACTCTCAGGGCTTCTTGTTTGGTGGAATGACACCTGCCCTAGGGGATAGCAGTCACCATCCCGGGCTGTCATAACTCATATCCTCAAGCCTGTATGACTGTGGGTGTCTGCCTTGGTTTCTTCATCTGCAGGGGGCCTACTCACAATGCCTCCTTTGTGTTTTGAGTTTCAGAAAATTCATCCTGAAGGCTCTCAGGGCAGTGACTGGCTGTGAGTCAGCACTCCCCTGTGAATTCCCCCATCAATCTCATTCATTTATAATTTGTATTAGCAGCCTTTCTTCTCTTTAAGATGGGGGCACTAAAGATTGCTAGTCTGCTGTCCAAGTTTTGAGTAGCTACTCACCTGACACCACATTGGGTATTGCGATATGATCAGGAAATACAAACTAACAGTCAGTGTGATTTTTCTCACATTAAACAGTCACTGGCTGGGGAAGGCCTGGTTGAGAAAGTGCCTTCCAGTACTTATCAAGCCAATTTCGGGGTATGGCCCTTGAGTGGGTTTTGCTTTAAGCTGGTGGAGAAGGAAGAACAGACTTGCACCCTCCCAAGTGCTGCACCTGCTCTTCCACTGACTGGCTGCAGTTCACAGGGCTCTCAACACCTCATCTACTCAGGGCCTTGCAAGGTGTTTGTCCATTGTGGGCAAGCTCCACAGTATGCAGGTCTGTAGGGCCAGAGGCTGCAGAAGTTGCTTGATAGCTGCTGCATTAGCCAGGGGGGCTGGCCCAGGAGTCCGGGGATTCTGTCTCCATCTCCCATTTCCTAGGAGCCTGGGATTAGGACCTACACTACCAGCTCAGGCTCTGTGGGTTCTGAGATCTCAGGTCCCATCCTTACCCTTGTGAAGCAAATGCTTTACCCACTGAGCATCTGTCTCCCCAGCACCCAAGTTAAGTTTTTACAGTGACCCTCCCCAGCACATGCCAGTGGCTACATGACCTTTCTTTCTCCAATCTGTTACACAGGCAGTCGTGGCCAACCAAAATCGATGTACCGCAGGACCTGGAGGATGACCTCACGGCTACTCCTCTGTCCCACACCACCGTCCCACAGTCTCCTGCCCGGGCTGCTGACAGTGTCCTCAATGGCCACAGGAGCAAAGGACTGTGTGACCCAGCTAAGAAGGACGACCTGCCAGAGCTGGCCGGACCGGCACTGTCCAGCGTGCCTCCTGCAAGCCTGAAGCCCGCAGCCAGTGGCCGCAAGTGCCTGTTCAGGGTGGAGGAGGACGAGGAGGAGGACGAGGAGGACAAGAAGCCAGTGTCCCTGTCTGCGCAGGTGGTGCTGCGCCGCAAGCCCTCGGTCACCAACCGCCTGACATCGCGCAAGAGCGCGCCGGTGCTCAACCAGATCTTTGAGGAGGGCGAGTCTGACGACGAGTTCGACATGGACGAGAACCTGCCGCCCAAGCTGAGCCGGCTGAAGATGAACATCGCGTCCCCGGGCACAGTGCACAAGCGCTACCACCGTAGGAAAAGTCAGGGTCGCGGCTCCAGCTGCAGCAGCTCCGAGACCAGCGACGATGACTCAGAGAGCCGGCGGCGGCTGGACAAGGACAGCGGCTTCACCTACTCCTGGCACCGGCGCGACAGCAGCGAGGGGCCGCCGGGCAGCGAGGGCGATGGTGGGGGCCAGAGCAAGCCCAGTGGCGGTGGGGGCTCGGACCCGGCCACAGGAGAGAGGGGCGCGGGCGGAGGCGGCCCGGCGGGGGGCGCGGGTGGAACCCCCTCGGGCACTGCAGGGTCTGCCAGGCGCTGTGCAGGTCCCGGCTCGGCCCCAGCCTGCTCTTCCCCGGCCTGTTCGGCCTCAGCCGCCCCGCGGAGCGCAGGCGAACTGGTGCAGAGCCTCAAACTGGTGAGCCTGTGCCTGGGTTCGCAGCTGCATGGCGCCAAGTACATTCTGGACCCGCAGAAGGCCTTGTTCTCCAGCGTGAAGGTGCAGGAGAAGTCCACATGGAAGATGTGCATCAGCACTCCGGGAACCACGGGTCCCAACTCGGAACTGGACCGAGTAACGAGCAAGAACCTGAGGAACAACGTGCTCCAGCTACCTCTGTGCGAAAAGACCATCTCTGTGAACATCCAGCGGAACCCTAAGGAGGGGCTGCTGTGTGCCTCCAGCCAGGCCAGCTGCTGCCACGTCATCTGATTTCCATTTAAAATGGATGTGCTGGGCAGTTATTTATTACCTTTCCATTTGTTCCAACAACGTGACAATGCATGGGCTTTGTGCATGCTGCTAGAAGCTGCTTTTCTTTTCCAGCTGAAAAGTCTACTGTGTGATTTTTACATTCATAACTTTAATGTGGATGAGCAGGATTAAATTGTATTATCTGGATTCTAACATAAATGGAGCACTTAGAAACGTGATGTTCTGCACTTAACCTAGAGAGGGGAAAACCGTTTTTGTTTCCTTGTGAAATCAAAATTCTTGTCCTGACCTCCTGTGATAGGGAAACTCCATGCTCTGGGGCACATTGGTGCCTGAGACAGAACCAAAGCAATAACGTGATGCCTACAGGTCTGGGATGGAGTAAGAGGCGCCACCAGCCATCCAAGGCCTGTGCACTCAGACCTTAGAACCACCGTTTGAGCATCCCCACGCCCATTTGTCTTAAGCTATAGTATGAAAAAAAGTTGGGGCTCTTAAAATTTCACTGACAGGTTTTCTTTTTTGTACTAGGTAAGATCAGCTACTTAGATTTGTGAGGCAGCCTCCCCTGTAGAACTATAAGCAGACAATCTTTTTAATGTGATGAGCTGAGTTCATGTCCTGACTCTTACAGAGTGTGTATCTGGCAGAACAAAAAGAGGCTCTGTGTAAGTTTCCCTGTAGGACACACTGCAGTGTTTCCTTCAAAGCCATGTGCAGAGAGGGACGAGAGGGCCTGGTGCAGAAGCAGATGCACACAGATAGCAAAGCCAAAACTCCACAAAATCAGCAGAATTGACTGGGGTTTGCTTTTCAGGACTTCGGTAGTTAGATCGGTCTCTTCCATTCCATTGCAGCATTTGGCTCGGCTGTGAACATCAGCTGATGAGACACTACCCATGGGAGGGTAGTGCTCAGGTGGGCCGCACAGGGGCATGCAGAGCACTCCATGACTGCCCCCTTCCTGTGTGTCACACATGGTCTCTTCCACGTGTTTTCAACTTTGCCTTCCTGCCAAACGATAATCAGAATTCTTGCTTGTCCTCTTCCTTTACTAAGACTACTTCCAACGAGATAATCACCTTCAGTGTTTTCTCTTAAGGATGAAATGGTTGTAGATGGCTAATTTTGGGGGGAGCCAGATGCTGTTCTGCTCATACTGTGCCCTAGGGGTATTGAAAGAAGCATCCAGTGACCTCAGTGAGAGAGGTGCCCTGGGCCCAGGGCCTTCCCCATACTCTGCAGCTTCCTGTCCTGGCTCTGAGTGGCAGCTGAGGTGAAGCTGGCCATGCAATTCAGGGTGGGCAGGGCACAGGCCAGTCACTTTCTTCAGTACACTGACTCTGCTACCTTAGGGTTAATGTATTTTCCTCAGAACTCTGACCTTCCCAGTATACCTGACTATACTAAGTAGAAATGATACTTAAACCCTTTCCTTTCTAGACTAGGCTAGCTACTGATGCTTTCAGCTATGGCTCTAGTTCATTGTGATGTTTATATCGAAAGCTTCGAGAACAGATGTGTGGGTGAAGCCATAGAACATATTTGCTTGAAATTCTTGAGCAGGGATCTTACAAAGGGCCAGAAACAAGATGTGTGGTTCACAGAGAGTGAGCACAGCATCTATGTTAACTAGGAGAGAAGTTTATAAAGGGCATTGGCAATAAACTCTTTGTTGCAGCTGTTTTCCAAGTAATGTAAATAGTCTTTCCTGTGCTGATGTATAGCCATGGAACAGCACCTTGTAACTAACCCGTGTGTGCTTGGTTCCTAGTGGTTTTTATATTCCAATGTGTATATGGTGCTCACTTTAGGATCAGCAGTGTTGACCATTTATGCTGCATAGCTGTATCATAGCCTTATCAGTTGTGTGTGGGGTTGGTTACCCTCTGGGTATACACACGTCCGTCTGAGTGGTGTCTTCCTGTTTGTTGACAGGTGGATGACTGTGCATGTGTTGTATGTCATACTGTGTCGTCACACAAAAGGGAGGGAGCGAAAAACCATTACATTAAGATAATATTGGACCAAACTACTTATTTGCTCTAACCAGTGACTTGTCCCCCTTAACCTGTCTTCAGAAGTTGCATATAGTTACAGTAAGAGTATAAATTAAATATTGTGGGGAAAGTTAGTCTTGTATTTTTCTGTATGTGTGTG